TGTAGTCAAGTGAAAATGGAGGTATGATGATGGTAATATGTATAAATATTGGAGTTAAAATACTTGAGTTAATATGAATTATGATTGATGATTGGGGAAGAGATGCATGAAAGTTTTTTGTAACCAACTGATACACTTTCTACAGTAAGTAAAAAAAGGAGGATTCTTTGTTTTGTAATTGTTTTGAAAATAAAAAATAAAAAAAATTATCAAAAAAAAAAGACGTTGTGGGTGCTCCATCACTGGAGGCTTTTAAGAAAAGACTACACTGGAATGGTATCCGGTCTCTTGCTTGAGCAAGGGGTTGGACTAGAAGACCTCAAAGGTCCCTTCCAATTCTGTTATTTTGTTATTTGAAAGTTTGAGTACAACTATCATGTGTTTATCATGAACCAGCTAAATATATATTACTCATGACATGTGAAAATGCTCTTTTTGGGAAGCAAAGCCTCATTCAAAATGGGCTAAATTGGATATTAGTGGTGTTTTGTTTCCATGTAATTTTAGAAGCATGTCTTTGAAGATGCTAAATCAGTCATACTCTTTTTGAAACACCATTTTACAGTGCCTCTCCACTTCAATGATAATGCTAAAATAACCCTGATTCTTTTGTGCATCTACAGAGTCTTATTCCCAATGGATCCAAATAGTTGGACAATTAAACATCCATGCATTCATGAAATTTATATGACCACACAAATCACAATGTGACTTTTTTCTAAACAGGGACATTTTTTCAAATCAAATTCACTGCATTGGTCCTGACTAAGATGACACCTGGCTTCCAGAACCCTACCAACTTCACTGCCTATAATTAACTTGGACCAAGCTTCATTTTGTTTTAAATAGTGTTTAAGTGACATACAGTGATACTATAAATGTTGTTTCTTTAATCAAATATTAAAGGGTCACTTCAACAGAAAATTTAAATTATTTCTAATCTATTCATCTGCTTGACACAGATAATAAAAAGGTGGTTGTTTATGTTTAATGTAAAAAAAACCTACTGTGTACTATACTTTGAAGAAGGAGTTGCAGAACATATTTTTAAAAAGCGTAAGAGTTCATTCTATTTCCATAACTATATAATTATAAAGAGAAACTATTAATATAAAATGTGACTGATTCAATTTATGAGCTGTTGTGGTGTAGTAGTTACAATGCAGTATAGCAGGCTAACTCTGCCCATTTCCAAGAGTTTGATCCTGGTGGGACTTGAGGTTGACTTATCCTTCCATTCTTCTGAGATCAGTACAATGAGGCTCTATATTGTTGTGGGCAATGTGCTGTTATTGCTGTACCTGTATATACTACTTAGACAACGCTATAAAGCACTATGGAGCAGTATATAAGTCTAAGTCTAAGTGCTATGGCTATTGCTGTTGAATTCAGGCTTCAAAATGGTGTGCATTAATTTCTTAAAAGACTGCATCTCTTTGTGCACATAAGGGCTTGTATGGTACAATGGAATTGTGTTTTCAACATTTTCCCCATAGATTTAAGAATTGAAGATTGGAGATTAGCTCACATATTGCACAGGGAAATTTCCTATACCTTGAGGACCCTTGAGGCAAATTCCAGTTTTGATTTTACTGTATCATTAGTATTTATCTGTGTCAATGGGGCTATTATTTGGGAATTTATACATGCTGTAGTAATATAAATTATATTTTCTATATTTATTATATGGATGGTGGGGCTTTTATTTTGCTTTTTTTGTTTTATTTAGGGAGAGATATGTCAGGTCTTTTTGTGCTTCGGGTGAGCGTATGAAGTGAGGAATCGAATAAATACTCTGCCTGAACCACTTTGGTGGGAAGGTAACAGCATTCTGTGCACCTCGGCATATAATCATGCCGCCCACATGGACCTCCTCCAGCTAAGAAATGGAGATGAACACTGCTCCTAGGGTCAGATATTACTGGACTGGGGAAACCTTTAGAATAGAATAGAATAGAATAGAATAGAATAGAATAGAATAGAATAGCTTTATTGGCCAAATGTTAGACACACAAGGAATTTGTCTTTGGTGCATATGCTCTCAGTGTACATAAAAAGACAAGATACATTCATCAAGAATCATAAGGNAGGGATAGAATCAAGATCACGTGAAGTGTTACTACCACTTTATAATACCTTTGTAAGACCACACTTGAAATATTTCATCCAGTTTTGGTCGCCACAATGTAAAAAAGATGTTGAGACTCTAGAACCATGATGGTGAACCTATGGCACATGTACCAGAGGTGACACACAGAGCCCTCTCTGTGGGCACGTGCGCTGTCCCCAGTTGTTCTTTTGGTTTCTGGCATGCACATGCGTGCCAGCCAGCTTCTCTATGCATGCGCCGGAGCACCAGAAACCTGAAGACCAGCTGGCCAGTGTACAAGGATGTGCCGGAAACCCAAAGATCAGGTGACTGGTGCGTACACTCGGTGCTCCCGGTGCTCCGGTGCACGTGCGCACATGCTGGTTTCTTTTTTGGCATTTTATAACCCAATTCTGCAGTTATAACAGCAGCTGTGCTATACATTACTTGGTTGGTTTCATATAGTGTGCTGGATGTGATGGAAGTTAAAATGTTCACAGCATTTAGTAGATCTTTCACTCATTTGCTATGCACTTCATGAATGGCAGGTAGCATTTTTCTGTATTTTCTTTTATGTGATTTTGAATCTTTTCTTTCAGCATTTTCGCTAAATCACTTAGCTCTACAGTTTTGAGTTGTTCCACAGGAGAATCTCCATCCTGTATGTCGGTTTCTTCCACTAGTTGGTCAGTTGGTTCAGGTGTTGGAAAAATTTCTTCAGCCTGTTCATCATTACTTGTTTTCTTTTTATCCAATGTTTCTAGATATTGCATTTCCACATCTGTAAAAACTTTATTACAGATGATGAAATGTCTTTGATCCATTAATTGTTGTTCAGTTACATCACTTTCCAGGTTTTTTTCCTTCCACAGTTGCATCATTCTTTCTTGAAATCCCCTGGCTGTTGGCTCTGCCTGGTAGTAACATTTGATGATTTCTTGATTTCCTTCAGTTGTCCAGGTTTTGCGCTTTTGTTCCAGTTGCACCCTGATTCCCCAGTAGTAACAAATGGGCCCTGTAGCCCATTTTTTGACAGATGTTCAGGAGCCATTGCATTTGACATGGCCTTTATTGACCCGGGCAACAACTGATCTGTTGTGGAATTTTGTTGTTTTCTTCTCAACATTGGTGATGGTAGGTGTCTGGATTGGTTCACAGTGGCTAAGCCACTACTGATCCGAAGATGGCAATCCCACAACCTTAGGAACCATACCCGATAGCCATCCAGGCCATCAATTTTTGTGATAAACCTCTTGCACATTTCATATTTTTATGTCTTTTCGTCTGCTCTCCATTTTGTCTTCTTTCTGCACCATCCTCCAGCAAACCAAAATAAATACTGTATGATAAAGAATGGTACAAGAAATCTCAAAATAAGCATGTACTAATCAAACAGTAAAACTCAAATATAATTCAACATGAGGGGAGGAATTAATTGCTTCTCCAGTGGGCAAGTTGTAAAAAAACGTTTCTCCCCAAGAGGTGGGTTCCTACCGGTTCGGCTCAGTTTGGCCCAGTTTGGTCGAATCGATAGTGGTTTGGTGGCCTGTGCCGTCGAACCAGTTCTACGCCTATGGTGCTGCGATCTTGTTTTTTGCTTTTGCACAGAGCAATTTTTATTGCATTGTGCATGCACGCACAGCTCACATCAAGCGCAAGCATGCAGTGCGACTACGTAGTGACTGCTGGAACCCACCCCTGGTCCCCACACATATAAAATGATAATTTGCTGGCTTCCATGTGAAATAGACCTTTCTTCAGCAATGTCTCCAGCACAATTTATAGAGTGGAATGACTGATCACTGCTCCTGGCAGGTTGAATTCAACGTGACATTATCAAATATATTTCATTTGATTTTTCAGCCCCAAAACTTCAGTTGAACTAATCCACTAGTAGCTGTACTGACAATAAGTATCTAGGGAAGTGCTCCTCTACATTTCTCCCTAATCATCTCACAGTTGGACTATTATAATGCATCCTACATGGGTCTACCTACAGAAGAGTGCAGAGTGCTGTTGCAGAGAGCGGCAGCAAGGGCAGTTTTGGAGGGATGTCCAAAATGGCTCCTGTAACACCACTGTTCGGCAAGCTACATTGGTTGCTGGTCTGTTTTCAGATGCAATTCAAGGTGTTGATGATCAACTTTAAAGCCTTTCATGGCATGGGTCCAGATTACTTGAAGGACTGCCTTACTCTAGTGGGATAGGCCTGTCTCATTCTGCCAGCAAAGGAGACATGCTGCAGGTACCATCAACCCAATTATTCTGGCTGGCAGTGTTCAGGAGGAGGGTGTTCTCAGCTGTTGCTCCTCTCCTCTGGAACATCTTGCCTCCTGAAATGAGATTGACCCCAACCCTTCTATCCTTTCATAAGGGCTAAAGGCCTGGCTCTGCCAGTTGGGCTGAGCCCCAATGGGGGGAACAAAATAGGGGAGCTGATTGATCAAGTAACAACAGTTCCCGCCTCTCCTCATTCCACTCCTCCCTCTCCACATGCCCTTAATTTTAATCTTGGTTTTAATGTACTTTTGTTTTAATCTAGGTGTATTTTTTATGTCTATAAGCCACTCAGAGTTATAGTAAGATGGGAGACTAATAAATATAAATTAATAAATTTCAGCAATTCAAGAGGTGTGGATTTTAACTCCATTCTGGGAGTTAAAGTCTATGTCACTTAAAGATGAAAACACTGATGTAAGGAAAATATTGTCAGCTGCTAAAAACAACAACATCCTTGAGCATGGTTGAATCCGCAGGAGTAAAGTGAAAACATGGAAGCTTATACTTGATGGTGGATCTAGAGGATCCAAGGCAGCAATAAAGGAATATTTTAGTGACACAGTGGTTAAAATGCAGTATTGCAGGCTGACTCTGCTCACTGCCAGGAGTTCAATCCTGACTAAACTATTAAATATGTTTGATTTTTCTTTCTTTTCATTCCTAGGAGAAAAGATGCTGGTCTTTTATCTTATAAGGACCATTTACCTATCAGTCAAGTGGTGGTTGGAGATATTGGTCGCCCAGGCTCTGATGCCAAGTTAACTGTGGGTGCTCTGCGTTGCCATGGAGACCGTAAGTGTGATTATTACTATTATTTTGTGTTAAAACCTCTTCTCATTCTGCTTCTCATAAAGCAGTAACTGCATCACCACTGAGAGAATTGAAGTATCAACATCCAGCTATTATTTTTGCAAATGAGGTGGATTGTAATACTCAGTGAGCTCTTGTAGTATCTGTGAGATTTCACCCATATTACAAGAGAATTATATCATGACCAAGAATATCTAAGACATTCAGCTTGATAAAGTCCTTTAAGATATGCTTTTACATGATCTATATCAAAATATATCAATAATATTTTTTCAAAAATATTTATAAAGAATTATTGTATACTGAATAGATATATTTGGTTTACTTCTTAAGTAAGGGCATTCATGTTTTATTGTGGAACCAATTAGATAACTTGGCCTATTCAATTAAGTATAGGTGAATAGTCCAAATTATCCAATTGATTAATATACACAGAAATACAAACCACAGAGAACAACTTTTAATATCTGCGATGCTGCTGAATGCTACTGTTAATGCTGCTAGCACTACTATTTATATTGCAATGAACTTTAGAGAGAGAAAAACAGTAGCATTATGACTAAGTTCATCATTGGAAATTTGTATACGAAGTTATAACCGGTGTGAATCATTGATGTTAATAAAGGTTAAAGTCATTTTGCAAATCAAAGCTGCTTTTTTATTATGTGTTTGAAACTTGAAGCCTAAATAAGGAAGTGTAAATCTCCAGTATCTGACTTGTTATTTAAGTTTGGCAATGTATTGTATACAAATCATATGCAAAGCACAGCTCACATTTTTTTTCTTGAAAAATAATTTCCTTCTTTTTCCCAATATTACTCAACATAAACTATGCACTTAGTAGCATCAAGAGCTTCAATCCTTATTATATTACTTCTCATCCTAAATTGGATATCGTCATATACACATACATATCACTTTCATTTAAAATTTAAATTGGATAACAGGATAGCAGATCAGCAGCAGATTCCCAGAATGCTTTTATGCTTTTTAATTTTATTTTAGTATAATTAATTATTTATAATTAAAATTTAAAAATTTATAATTATTATAATTTTTTATAATTAAATTCATATCAGTTTAGATTTTAATGACTTCCTGCTACCTACTTTGTATGGTGTTTTTATTTTATATTTTATTGACTATACATTTTAACATGAAGTGATCCTTTCCTTTCTTTTGTTTATTGTTAATTGTTAATCACTCAGAAAGCTACAGCTATAATGCATAAATAAACTAACCCAGGGCTGCATTCTGACAGCACTGTAGTGCATCAGTCATTGCCCTCATAAGCTGTTGGGTGCTTAGTAATCTACTAACAAGATATATTGTGGCAGAGATTACCTAGATGTGACATTATCCTGCAATTTGCAGGCTACAATGTACAGTCACAGGAATAGTCCCTGGACTATGGTTCAACATAGTAGCTTGGAGCCAAAACACAATGTTGACCCCAAGGTTCAATGTGTTCCTACATATTAATGTTGATGGCACATAAATTGTCGATTAATAACAGCAATGCTAAATAATATATCATATTTGCTAACCATATCCTTGAAAGTCTTAATGTAATGAGATTATAATACCTTGTGCTTATAATAACATATTAATAATTATTTCTGTTTGTAATAGTAAAAACATTTATGTTTCAGTCCTACTATTTTATGATCCTGACAAAGCCAACCTAAAGGAATTTGACTGGAAATATTTCTTAAATGTAACATAATATTTATTATTCAGGACTGCATTGTGATATTAAGCATGGCTATTCTGTATATTTTTGCTTCAAGACTTTTATAACCTCATCCAAATTTAAAATGTGAGTTTAGAAAATTATTTTTCTACCTTATCCATCAGTCATTTCCTATAAAACCAATAGTGTTGTTTGTGTCATTACTTTTTTCCATATTGTTTTATTTTCACATATTATTTTGAAAGGATTGTACTAGAGGTGAAAACAAATCAAAATTGATAATTAATTTCCCAATGATTAAATAGTTTTCACATAATTTACTTTTAATGATGGAGTATAAATACCTTTCCTTTTAATTTTAAAACTATTAGCAGTATATTTTTAATTAAGATACATCATTATGTGATAACTTTTCTTTACATCTTAAAATTGAACAATGTTTACTTGTTTAATGTTTCTGGATCTTTAAGAATGTTTCTGTTTTACAGAGAAAATATTTTCTAGGGTTTTTTTCTAAAGTTTCTGTTTTATTGGGTGAGAATGTCTTGAGGGAATTAAGTTCCTTTTTCATCTTGTGAAATAATTTTCCACAAATAATATTAATCACTATTTGTCATGTATCATTCAGTTAGGTTAGACAGCAAAAGAAACTCCTGAGACATTTTTTTAAACCAAGAATATAACTTCAATGAAAATTCCATGTGGTTACAGAAGTAGAGAAACCAATTCTAACAATTTCACATGAAAACAGCAAAGGAAAACTTTCCCTTCCCCCCCCCCCTTGACTTCCCATTGTCCATTGTCCACCAATCATTTGCACTCTCTTTGTTTTGGGAATGATCTGTCTGCCTCAGACTTCCCCAGTTAGGGACCTTGAAGTGTTGGGTCTGTCTCAGACTTCCATTGGCACTCTTGCATTCCAAATTTCTCTCCCCTCCCCACTCCTGTTACAGTTGTCTGGTTGCAAACAGGACTTCATAGAAAGTAATCCATGACACTTTGCTTAACTGCAATATAAGATTATTTGTTATTCTTTCATTGAGTTTGCCATGTGAAGAAGTAAAAAATGTGCCTATTCTAGAAATTGGTATTATACCATTAGTAAAATTAGTTCACAAGTTCATTTGTTGTTTTTACTTAGGATATAATTCTGTCATAGAAAAAAAAACCTCATCAGCTGAAGTGTTCATCTATTTCCCCTTATATTTCAAAAAGAATAAGATTTATTTCTGTAGGAATGTTTGTTTTCACTAGAGGTGTATTCTGCCGGTTCGCCCTGATTCAGGCGAACTGGTAGCAGCGGTGGGAGGTTCCGCCCACCCGCCCAGACATCATCAAGGATGCTCTGCACATGCAGAAGGTGTGCATACTCCCAGTTTTAAACCGGTAGCAAAGATAAGAGGATTTCATGCCTAGTTTCCACCCTTCTCAAAATAAACCATTACATGATATTATGTTACATGAGCAGAAAAACATTTAAGAACATTGTTAGATACTTCATAATTAGTGATATTATACATTTATCAATGTATAGATAAATTTAAAGATAAATTTTGAATTGGAAAGCACACTTTTAATAAGATAACGTTTTAATAAGATAACATTTTAATAAGATAAAACTACAAATAGTTTTCTAGGAATGGCTGAGTTCTCATGAATCTTTAGCATTATTATTTGATATTTACAGAAGTTCTCCACTGTCAAAGGCTTATGTGTATGGCACATGCAAGAGGGCTAGAAACTCCTCATTTGTTGCATTTGTTGTGAAGGCTGGAACTGGCAAGGCAGGAAATAAGATTTTCCATGAATGTTCTTGGGTGTGACCGTGCACTTCTACAAAGAGATGAACTGCGTATAACTGATACCAGCTGTCACTCTCTCAGCATTTAGAAATCTGTAAAATTAATTTTTAAACCTAGTTTTTGCATGTTAATGAAATTGACTCTAGCATTTAGTTTTCATCTTTTCATCATGTTTTTTAAAAATACCTTGCTTAGTTGCTAGACCAAACCCTCGCCCAAAATACAACTAATAGACTGGATGAATTTGGACCAGTCACTGTCTCTCAACTCAACTCACAATTATGAACTTTTAATCAGAATGTTGCCTCTTATCTAAGTGATTTTTGGTTCCCAATTTGCAAAAAACAAACAAACACCAAAACTTATAACTCTTTTGAATCAGATTTTAACTTTTGTGTATGTGAATAATAGTTACATAATTTCTATTATCTGGAATCAGAGAAGCTCTGTAACCATGAAAGATATATGGTTGCTGCCTTCCAGGAATCACCACTATTAGTTTATAAACATATTACACAAATTAGAAGATTTAGACAAGATATTGGAGCTAAACTGGATATAACAGAAAGAGATAGTTATCCCTAAAAGATGAAGTAGGAAAAGATAGTCTAAAAGCCTCCAGAATATTTATATCATTCATCACTTAACTTTAGGTTTTTATGTTATTATTTTTTAAGACTCCCAACTATATAAAAAGACAATTTAATGAATACAAATATTACTGAAACTCCAATTATATTGTTCCAAAATTTAATTTATATATTTACAAGTACAAAAATATTAGGTTCAGAAAGAAAATGAATGCAAAGTGGCAAATATGATTATGTGATTTGATTAAAATGTGCATGCAATATTTTTATGATATTAAAGAGATTATATCCTTCTTGCATAATTCTACATGTATTCACTCTGAAATAAATCCATATAGAATGTTCTAGTGCCCTTGTATTTTCTGAATGAGTAGCATTCTCCTATGCCAGGTATTATTGAATTGAGCAGAACCATAAGTCAATGCCTCTTTGACTGGATTTAATCACAGTTAGCTTGACATAAATATTCTTGATAATTTATTAATAATTGTTCTCAGTCTGCTCCATGAAACTGAATTTCTTAAGAAAAATGAGAGTGATAAATTTCTTTACATGCCTTCTTTCTTCTTAATAGATTGGTATTTAATTCCTTATCAACATACCTGTAGTTGTACAACAGTGGGGTCAAACTCAAGGCCAGCAGGCCAGATCTGGCCCTTGATGTGATCGGATCAGTGGGGCAGTCCTAGAAACAGTAAGGGTGGACCCTCGCTTCGGCCCAGCCAATCCCATCCTGACAGACATGCATTTGTGCAGGAGGCAGGGAGCACACATGCACACAGGCCTGGCCATGCCATCCCATCAGGCATGCCTAAGGTGACCAGATGTCACAATTTTGGCGGGACAGTCACGATTTTGCACAATTTGTCCTGCGTCCCGGGGCATTCTTAAAAAGTC